CCACGACACCGCGACGGGATCGGCAACAATCTCGTGTGACACACTAATATTTGACCTGTCTGCGGCTTGAGCAAAGGGGATACCACCCATTGCCACCCATGAAGAAAGTCATCATGCAACTTAGCATTTCCGAGTCACAACATCCGTTTGTCACAGAATCTGCTCTTCACGCGGCCTGGCGGGCCTGAGAGACATGTCTTCAGACCAAGCACCTGCATACCACGGACGGCTCGAGCCACCGCTGGGAACGACGACAGAGATGTCGTGAGCCTTTGAGATGTCGTTGGCATTCTGCGCATCGAAGCCTTTTAGAACTCCACAAGGCTTTGCTCGGGTGAAACCAGAGCTTCGTGCAGCTCAATCCAAAAAAAACAAAAGCGAGCGATCGGATTGGATACTGTTCGCAGTTGGATAGCATGATTGGAAGCCTTCCTTGGTCTTCCAAATCTTCCGTGGTTGTAAGCTATGAGATTCTTGGTCAGTCTGCTGTGTGGTGAATCTCGCCACTCTCGTGCAAACATGTCCCACCTCGTATTGATGGAACTGCAGTTGGTGTCTAATGATCCATAGTCTACCACTTGCTAGACTTGTTGATAAACTGTGTTGTTGCATTTTGCAAGTGCTCTCGTTCCAAGGTCACATGCGATGCGGTGCTTCTGCTCTTTCTAGCCGTGACGCAAAATAGTCAAGGCAGTTAACTGGTCACAGCGAACAGTCTCCCTTTTTTATGCCTTGCGAGCTGTGTCAAGGTTGGTTGCTGGAGGAAATCCACAACAAGGGTTGCGAGATCTTTATAGTTACACTATATAATGGTTTTTCGGGGTAAAGCAAAAGGAGGACAACACGATAGGTGGCTTTTACGTGGTTCAGGATTTTGTGTCTAATTGTTCTGCTAGTCTCGGATTACACCTGGGTTCATAGATTTCCTCCTTCAATAGCGATGGGACTTCCGGGCGTGTTACCCAGAACTTCCCCCATTCATGAAGTGCGTCGCTCCAAGATGTTCCAAGTGAGGCTGCGCGAATCTAGTGGTGATCTTCTGGCTTGGGTCGCGCGGGGAACAAAGACCCCGTCAACAAATGTTTCCACTGACGCCAATCGAAGCTGAGCTCGCGCAACTTCCCCTCCTTCCTTGGACCTTGGACAACATATTTCTTTATGTACAAACGGACGCCCTTTGCAAACGGGCTGTCTTGGTTCTTGCAAGTGGGTCGCAGCACGTTTGGTCTTGTCCTACAGGTCTCACCTCAACTAGAAAAGGAACACCGGAAGAACAAGCAATAGCATCTATCAATACCTTGCCCGAGGTCTGTGATACCCTATCAACACGACGTTTTTGGGCAAGCATGCGCCATTTTGTGGTAGTGTCACTTGTGGGCATGGCTTTGCTCCTGCACCAACGGACCCAACAAACACAGGAATTGTTCCAAGATTCCTCTGACAGCTTGCCTTTTGGCCCACAACGACAATTGAGATGAATTGGGTGTCGATGGTGCAGATTCTGCAACATTCAGGACCTCGGGATTCGGGATGATCGAAATGTGTCCCCACATAAAACGAGGATCATAGCCCTGCCAAAGCCAACAGAAAAACTGGCAACCACTTCAAATAGAGGCAAATCTTCTGAACATTTCTGAGCCAGCTCTGGCAGTTTCACGTTTATTCCCCCTATGCTTGACTACAGTGGTGGGGTCGAAAGATGTAACACACTGGTCGTCTCATCGTCTCCTGGCTTTCGTCCACTCAGGAGACAACTCAGGATTCCACTAGACGATTTCTCTGGGTTTGGGATGAACTATGGATCAATTGAACCAATGGATCAATTTGAGCCAATGTATCCAACGATTCCATGGGTCAATTCATCAATATGATTGATATTTAACCAATTAGAACCGCTGTTCAACCCATGTTCAATGTAGAATTGAATCACGTATTGCCCATTGGCAGCCTTTGGTGTGAGATCTAAGCTCATAGCGAGACAGCGTGGGGAAAAGCTGAATTAGGAAAACCACGGAGTAGAATTGATCCAGAACACCACTGAACATGGATGATATGATGTTTCATCTACTCACGGAGTAGATCTGAGGAAGTATCTCAGGAACAACTCAAAGGAGATCATGGGTATCTGCTGAGTACTGTGCTGAGTTGTATATCCACCAAGGATTCCAGTGAAAGGCTAGTAGTCCTGGGTTGATGAGTCGTGTGAACACATCTTTCTATTGAACCTCCCTCAACATACCGAGAGGCTGAGGTAGATGGGAGTTGAGGTCCAAACATCCGTCGAGATCCGTCAAGATCCCGGAGTCGCAAGTTGATTTTTTTCAATTTCTTACAGGCTGGTGTCCAACGGAGTCGCAGTAAACTCATAGACCTTGACGTGATAGATGTAAGGTCTAAGAGATCTATGGGTTTTTCCGACAATTTGGGTCAAAGTTACCCACTCCACCAGGGTTATCTGAAATGTTCTTCGTCTCGAACCAACCTCAGCCCACCCATTCAAAGCGGGCGAAGCGAAACCCCAAGTTGCTTGGCCTGGCATCTCTGAAGGTCATGGGAAAGCAAGCCACAAACCATGGCATGAGTTCCTCACATTGTCGGACAATCGAATCCAAAAACAGATCAAACTGTCAAAGCTCCTAGTAGTTCACACAGCGCACCCACAAGTGGGACGGGATAGCCCTACCCGCTTGCTTTTGCTTCTTTGAATTCTTTTTTCATGAGGCCACGAAGACTCAAGTTGATCAAAGGCAATCGAAATCATGTCAGTCACCTGTGACAGGAAAACTTGAGGCCAGGGGAGGAAGTCGAAAGCTACCGGATTCACACTCGTGATTTCTTTGTCCTGGCACGTCTCGCCTCCACACTGAGGACGTCAGTAACCGCACCTTGGTCAAAATGGCCGGCAGTGGAACGGATTGCGCTTGCGTAGGCGCTATCGTTTGCGCGGGCGCCACGCGCCTAAACCCTGGCTAATAGCAGTTGCTAGTACCTGTACACTAACTGCTATTATTCAATTCAACAATGACAAACATAGCAGCCATCTGGAAAAGTGTTGGCCTTGACCGGCCATTGCTAAACAGTACCGCAAAGTTGGATGCCCATGTATTCTCATTGTAGTGTGTTCTCACACACCCTGAAATCCGAAAGTTGTTTTGTCAAGATGGGGAAGCGACCCCGTCACCCGCAGAAGCCCGAAGGGTGATGTGGAACCTGCTTGGGTGAGCAAAATCTCAGCAGCTGTCAGGATTGAAGCTTCCTTTGGATTTGAAATTGCTTATATACATTGTGCAATTTACTTTGGAGAGAAAAATTTATTGTAGCAGCATTATGTTGGCTCCACATGCCATAGGAACTTCGACGTCACAAAGGGTGAGCACCCAGCCGCATGGCTGATTGCCTCTCTGCGACCAGAAATGTATGATGTTATCGTGTGCTTGGGAGAGACAATCTGGAAGCCCAATGACGCTACAATCCACTAGTTGATCTGGATTCGGCGCGCTCTGTATTTGTATATGATCTTTTCCCTCCACTCAGGCTCACGCCCGGCTGGCCACACCAGCTCGACCCACGCCTAGCTGGGAAGGAGTTGTCAGGAACATTGGGCAAGTTTGGATCGAACACCGCTATGCCGGGCTTTGCGCCTCAAACCCCCGCGAGCTGCTGCCGTGGAGGAGCTCGTGGTACTGACGGCAGTGAGCAGACCACGTTGTATGAGCCACAGGCAAAATGTCTTACGTACGCTGTTTTCGGCATTAAATCGCAGGAGTGCTCTACAGCAAGCCATCGTTCCCCCTATCGTAACCCTATCGTATGGGGTATCGTTAAGATACTTTCAGTCGGTCGCGCGCCTCCTGCGTGTACACGCACTCGAAGAAGCCACCATCTTCATCCTCAGAAAGGATCACCCAATCACATGTGACACGCACACGCGCTTTAACTTAAACCCCATCGTTCTGAGGTGCTTTCTGGGTCATACACATCTTCGGCCACCAGGTGTTGAAAGCCTTCGGCATGCGCTACGACCTGGCGACAGAAGTAGTTGACCTGCAGACCTTGAGCCTGAAAGGTGCCCGGCTGTGGACCAGCCCAAAAAACTTGCCATGGATGGCAAGCCATGCCTCGCCGTCTGACAAACTCGACTCTTGCGCCGGCAAGCGCAGCAGAAGCTCCTGAGACGGCAAAATCATGGACACTGCAGGCCAAGGGCGTTCGGAGACGGAACGGAGATGTCCTCGCGCACTTGCCGCAAAAAAATGAGTTTGCGGATGAAGTCGAGCTGCGCCTGTCCAAGAGTAATCATGACATCTACGCAAGTCTGGACACGAAACAAGCACCATGGCCTCTGCTCTGCTAGGCTTCTGCACCTTCGCACTGTTTCTTTGATGTTGCAAAATATCGGGGACGGGGTCTGTTACATGTCTTCTATTTACCCAATAGACCGGCTTAGTTTAAAAAAATACTTTTTAGATGATTCCTAAAATTTTAACTAAAACGTAGAATTCCTAGAAAATAGTTAAGTTATGTTTTAAATAAATTTCTAAATTGGTCTAAAATATGATTTAACTATTTTCTGTAAACTTAGCTAAAACAAATTTAACTATTTTCTGTAAATTTAACTATTTTCTGTAAATTTAGATATGGAAACTTCGAACAAACTTCGAAGTGCCCCCGGTGAAACTTCGAAGCGATATGTTTGGAAATTGAAAGCTCTGTGAGCTCCATGTTTGCACAACTTTTGTGAGCCCATGTGCAGGGTTGCAGGGTGCTGTCTTGGCTTTGGACACACAGTTGCAAGAATATACAAAAGTTGACTTAAAGATCAACCGTTTATAGTGAAGAAAGGGAACACACAATACATCTTTGTTCTTCTGAGACTAGTCAGGCCCTCTCTCTCTCACATGAGAGAAGAGTCTTTGTATAGAGCACTCTCTCATGGTGGCACTCTCTCAAGGTGGTTTTCACTCATTGTCTCTCACAGTGGTCAAGTATGAAACTCTCGCGCCGACACTTTTCCATTGTCATGTGTATGACACATTTTCAGCGCACGCATGCAAACAGTTTTTTTCACTGAAGTCCTGAGCACGCAGTCCATCAAGGGTGATACACACACAGGGTCCCCTAAGCTCTGCGGAGCTCATGGTCCTTGAATACAAAGTGTAGCCCCAACCTGTAGTGTTGGGACATTTTCATGGTTGCTTGAGCTGGCGAATTTCCTTTGACGCACGCTTTGGCTAATAATTGGGTCTTGGCCATTTGGTCTTCCCCTGCAAATGTCCATAGAAGTCTAGGACTCACCTTGTCACACAACAGCACAGACTCCAAAACCATGTGGCTCTTGCTGGTCGCAGAGAAAAGCTGAAGGTCTTCATCCAAGAAGTGTTTCATAATCTGCGTTTGCAAGGCATACATGCCAAAAGTGTTTTGCTTGAATTCACTGGCCGCTGGTTCGGGGAAGGCGTAGTGGTCTTTAAAGTCCGTAAGGAGAGTTTCAATCTTGTAGTTGAGTTTGAGCATCAACGCGATACCTGAGCTGCGCAATGTTTCCTGTGAGACGCATATGGACATGTTTTGCAAAGGCCTGTGTATAGTATCACATGACATATCACACAAGCGTCCATAAAAAACTAGGCGACGAGTGGCCCGAAAGCATTTTTCATCACGTAGGAAGTCAGAGTGCGAGTTATCCGGTAAGTGTGCAGTGAGAAGTGTGAAGTCGAGTGAGTTGAGGTAGTGTGTGGGTTTCTGTGCGTGTGTCTATGTCGACCGTGTGGAAATGAGTCTGCGTATGTGTGTGTGTTCGTGTAAGTTGAGGGAGTGTGTGGGTGTCTGTGTGTGATGCGGCCTCCCAAAACCCCCACCGGCGGCCAAGCGGTGACAGCCCAGCTCATCGTC